CAAAGTAAATTAAATGTAAAATTAAAATTTTTTTATTATTAATGACTATAAAAGCATTTATACTAATAGCATGAATTAAAATTTTATTATGTAAGTAAAATAAAGTTTATTAAATAAAAAATGATCTATAGATAATAATAAAATTATTATTATTGATTAGACAGTATGTATTTGAGTCATATGGTACTGTTTTATGATTGGAAAATGTAATTTAATAGAAGAATTTTCGAAAATTCAAAAAATGAGAAATAAAATTAATTTTCACGAAAAAATTTTAATAATTCCATAACAAATCTACTTGAATATTATTGAGACTTGGATTTCAAATAACACTACTGCGTTCAGTTTAATAGTTGAATTCATAATACAGTTACATCTTGTTAGTTACAAATTCAGATAAAACTTTAATAATTTAAATTACATTGGACCTTCTTGGATATATAATTATATTGTTATATATATAATTATAATGTAATATTAAAGAAAATTTTATATTACAATTTTACAAACAATTTTTAATTTTTAAATAAATCTAAGTAAATAATTTTTAATACTCTTTTTCAATGTAATTTTGTTCTATTGAAATTTGAAGATTTTTAAAACATACTTGAGATTTTTAAAGTTTAATTATTTTTGAAATGAAAAATTAATTTTTTTTTGCCCCCCTAAAAGTATACAAAAACATATACAAAAAAATGAGTTAAGAAATCTACTTCAATAGATAAAATTTTTAATAAACATAACATACTTAAAGAATGATTAAAATTCATAAACTAACTTCGAAATGTAAAACTTTGTAAATGCGTATTTTGTATTTATCGTTCAATAATTTAATATTATAATGAAATAATTAATTTATAGAACTGAGTATTATAAAATACAACATAAATTCTTACGTAAGACAGGTTAGGTTATACCTCGAAAGGTAAACATAGGCCATCGAGGCCAGTTGTGACACCACCGGATCTCTCCTTTTCCGCCCCTCATTCCAACCAGCCGGAACTCCTCACAAATCGGCCTATGTATACCTATTCATAATATCCTACTCATAATAGGTTCACCTTGAATAATACATTACATAAATATTATATAGTCTGATAGATCAATAACTGGGATTCATTTGATGCTACTATATTACATTTATGTATTTTATTTCGTTAAAAAAAATAAATATAGAAATTTCCCCTAAAAGTATGCAACATAATTATGCCCACAAATTTTTCATATTAGGTATAATATATTAAGTATTAATCACCAAATTAAGTAAAAATTTAACAAATATAACAAATTTTTGGGATATTTTTTTTTTTTTTTAAACATTAATGGGATGTAAAATATTGTAATTTCAATTTAATAAATTAAACTATTTTATAATAATTTTAATAACATTTAATATACACGAAATGAAATTCGCGTTTAAATGAATTCACGAAAAATATACTTAATTTTCAATATAAATATTTGTGTTTAAAAATTTTAAAAACTTAAATAGTTAAAACGAAAATCATAATTACAATAATCAATTTAGTAAAAGAATTTGCAAATTATCTTAAAGTCAATTAACAAAATTAAATTGTATTTTATTTTCATTTAGTATATTATAATAAAAAACTATTCCTGTATTCAAAACTATGATGTAAAATTTAAGTATTTATGCAATATTTCAAAATAATACTAAAATAATTTTATATAAAAAGATATAAGTAACATACTTTTAAGATATATTTTAATTGAATCAAATTTTATAATATTATATAATACACTGAATAATTCCAATATGGTATTCGAAAATTTCTAAAACAAACAATAACATTTATTTTAAGAATGGGTGATTATTTTAAATAAATATATGGGTATTTTTTTAATTAAAAAAAAAAAATACAGCAAAAAAGCAAAGAAAAAAATCAAAAATAAATAAAGTAATAGAACAAAAAAAAAAAATTAATTAAATAATAATCCATTGACAGAAATAAATAAAAATATTTAAAAAAAAATAAATATACTTACACATGTACACGTATAATAAAATACTATGTACATTAATATATTTTTTAATATTATAAAAATTCATATATGAATTTAAACTCAAACTATAATTTCGATATTAATATTATATAATATATATGTATATTCACACACATACAATATATATATTAATATCCTGAAACAGGACGTTTTTCTTAAGATTTTCCATTCCAAATAATAAAAAATAAAATATAATAATATATTTGTTTGTTTGTGTAGGTGAATTGTAAAAAAAAAATTTACAAATACTACTCGTATATGTACTTTAAATTCTAAATATTTTCCATTTATTTTTATTTTTTGTGAAAATACAAATCTACCAGAAATAGAAAAGAAGGAAAAAATTAACAAAAAAAAATCTTGAAAAATGAATGAGAGAGAAGAAAATTATAATAATAAGTATATATATATATATATATATATATATATATATTTAATTCTATAATTTTTTACAATAAGAATTTACTTTGCTACTGTGTTATACAATAATAAAAACGGCGATGGGTTTGGCTCAAATCGTTCTTTTACGATTGGAATACATTTTCCTTTCTGTATGTATTTTTGATTATTTCTTCTTATTTGTTTTTTTTTCCATGTTTCTTCTTTTTTTATTTTATTTCTCATTTATATTTTTTTGTATATACATATTATTCGTATTAAAATATTCGCATTTCTATATTGTATGCATATTCCTACTTACACTTTCTGCATTACAAAATGTGAATATAAAAGCAAAAAAAAAAGAAAAAACAAAACAGAAAACATATTACATATGAAAAATAAAAAACTTTTTGAAAAGAGACAAAACATATACAATAAAATTTTATACAAATATATCTTCACATACAAACATACTAATATAACTAAAATATTATTTTTTTATTTTCATTTCTCCTTATACATATATTTTTTTTTTTTCACAAAAATCCAATATTACATTATTTAAATACAATTATACAGAAAAACTCTTATAACTTTTAAATACATACATACAAAATAATATTTTTTGTTCGTTTTTCAATTCAATTTACAATAATAATAAAAAAAAAAATAAATAAAATGAAAAAATAAAAACAGAAAACAAACCGAAAATGAAACATACGAAAAAAATTAAAAGAAAATGAAAAAAAAAAACAAAAATTTATACAGTTGTACTGTTTTCTGTTCAATTTCTGTTATATTTTTTCCATTTAGATTGCTTTCATTTCTCTTCTCACCCTCTTCATAAAACATTCTTTCTTTTCTTCTTACATGACAAATATTTTATACTCTCTTCTATATTATTTGTATTATTATTGAATACCTATTTTATTGAGATTGTTCTCTCTACATATAACATTTAATTTTTTTCTATACTATTATACAACTGTACTACTACATTCTGTATCTGCTACTTAACTATACCACCATACCTCACTCACAATACTGCTGCTGTTTCTATTGAATTTGATTTTTACTTACATACCATTAAAATGAAAAAAAAAATACAATATATTATTATTGCTATGAATGCGATTGTGTGATTGTTTATACTTTTTTTTTTATTCATATGTATTTATATAAATAAACAAAACAAAAAAAACAAAAAACAAATTTTTTTTTTTAATATGGTATTTTCAGTATTTCAATTTTGTTTTTTTTATTATTATTACTATACTTACTTGTTTTTCTGTTTTTATTTTTATTATTTCTCTTTACATTTTATTTTACTGTGCTGTTTCTTTACTTACTTATTCCATTTGCTTTGGCTATATGATTTTATATATGCCAATTCCAGTTCCAGTTTTATATCTAATGTAAATTTTTTGATTATTTATTTTTTATATTTTCTTTTTTTATTTCTCTCTTTCTCTCTTTTTCTTTCTTTCGTTTTTTTCTCTCTTGCTCTTTCTCTCCGTACCGTATTTATACCGATAGGAGTGTGTAAGAAGAAAGCAACAAAAGTACAAAAATAATAATAATAAAAAAAGGAATAAAAAAAAAATAATATGAAAAAGAAAAATACAAAAATGAAATAAACTGAAATAAAATTAAAAAAAAAAATACATATAAATATGAAAAAAAAAATTAAAGAAAAAAAATAAAAATAATACAGAAAGCAAACAGAAACAGAAATATAAAATAATAAAAATTATAATAAAAAACAACAAAACAAAGCAAAAAAAATAATAAGAATAAAATAAAAACAACAAAAACAAAAAGAAGAAAAAATAATGAAATAACGAAAAAGAAATAAGCAAATCATACAGTAAAATGTCGAATGATATCAATTCGAGAAATACAAATTAATCAGTTGGTAGAAATCATTTCGATTGTGTATACCTAAAAATTGTATACAAGCGAACGAAATACGTTTTTTTTTTTCTGTTTTTACTATACTAGATATATTTTCATTTATTGCTGCTATTCATTTATTATTGCTATTTGTTATTATTATTATTATCATTATTGCAATAGTATTCTATGATTCAATTCGAAACGGAAACATTATTAATTGAAATTTTGTCCGTTCTCCGATTATAATAAAAAGAAAAATGTGCTGAATATATACAATATATATACATTATATATATATATATACATAAAATATGTACATTAACTTAGAAATTAAAAAAAAAAATTGAAAATTTTAAATAAATTATTTTAAAATTTAATGCAAAAAAAAAAATTATTGGAATTATTAAAATATTGAAACTGATTTAAAGTGAAAGAACGGGCATTCAGTTAAAATAAATTAGTGAAAATGAATTTAATTAAAAAAAACAAATAAACAAATTAAATATTTAATTTGAGTGTTATTTTTGTTTTTCATTAATTGACAATATTATTTAATAAATATTGAACAAATTAATTAATTTTTTTATTTAAGTTATTGAAAAAATGAACTTAGACACCAAATCATTGCAAGAATAATGAAAATTATTTATGCAAATTTTAATTATTATTTTAATTAAAAAATGTAGTGAAATAAAAATAATAAAGTTAAATTAAATAAAACAATTAAAAATTTTTTTTAAATAATATAAGAGTATTAAAAAAAAAAAAGAATAAGAATGAAGAAATGAAATTTTTTAGAAAAAAAAAAAAACAATAATATAAAATTAATATTCGACTACAATGTTATAATGTAACTGTTATAATAAATGTATGTATATATTTATATATACACAAGTAATATTAAAATACAACAACTGGCTCGTGCCAGGGGGTGTTTTTTCTTTTCGTTTTTAAATAAATAAAGAATAAAGTGAAGAAAAAAAAAATAATAAGGAACTTATAACGGTACATTTTTTTTATTTTCATAAATTTGTTCTTCTTTTTCATTTGTTTTGTTCTCCTGTTTTTTGTGTTTTCTGTAAAACATGTATGTTTATATAAATATAATATTATTGTACTTTATGTATATATGTATGTACATAATTTTGACATAAGTATATATATGATATATTCAATATAAGTTATAAAACATATACGTGACTATTTTTTTTTCTCTACTAAAAAATGAACAGAAATGATATGAAAATAATAAAAATGAAAAAATTTGAGAAATATTTTTTGATTCGTTTCCAATTGTGTTGTATGAATTCAAGAAAAAAATAAAACTGTAGTATATACACATTTATGTACATACACATGAACCTTTATTTACACTTATATTTAAACTCACTACGAATAAAATGAATTTTAATAATACATTTATGTACATTTGAAAAATTATAAGAAACAAAACAAAAAAAAAAAATAAATAAATGTGAAACTTTTATTTTAATTTGAAAAAAAAAATTTTTTTTTTCGTTTTTTGTGTTCTGTTTTTATTTTTTATTTAATTTTTTGTATTTATTTTAATTTTATTTGTTTGTTCGCTTCTCTTTTTATTATTTTATTTTCACTGAGTTGAAAAAAAAAAACAGTTATATTTGAACTGTCAAATCCGTCGGTTATTCGTACATATTTTTTAGATGTAATAATTTCTATAACAGTTTAAATGTTGTGTTTCAATTTCCGAAAATTTTTGATTTTAAATTAAAATAATTGAAAAATTTTATTTGTTTTTAAATAAGTTAATTATTTTTTTCATAATAAATTAAATTTTATTTTTGAATAAATTATGCACTCAAAATAAAAATAAATTAATTAGAAACTTATTTTAAGAATTTTATATATTTCGATTTCATTAAGAAAAAGTATAATTTAAATAAATGGATAAAAAAACAAAAAAAAAATAGACAATATAAAGAAATTAACTAAAATATTTTAGTGCCGGTGTGAATTTTGTTTGCGATTACTTTTGAAATTTGCTTTCGTTTCATGATTTTAATTTACTACTTGTTTTATTACAGTTGAAATATAATTTTGAAGTGTTTAAAATTTGTTTTTTAAATATATTGGTTTTTCTTTTATTTTAATGTTCTATTTTAATATTTTTGTTTATTTAAATCTGAAATTTTAATTCGAAGTTTTGTTATTTTTGTATACCTATGTGAAAATTAATATGGTTTTACTAAATTATGTAATATAAATAAATTAGTTCTAGATTTCATTTCGAAATGAAAAAAAAAAATAAAAAATTTTTTTCAAGAGTAATCAAAAATTTTCTATAGGGTATAGGTCTTATTTTATACGAGGTATTTAATAAAATTAAATAAATTTAGCCTTAACTTATCCGCAGAATGAATTCAGGTTTTAAGAATATTTAAACATTTTAGTTTCAAGAATTGAACGTCATCCATGAGATTTTTTGTTAGTTTGCCCCTTATTTTAATATTTGAACTAAAAATGTTTATCTCACATTTTTGTCATTATCTTATGCTAAAGCTAATTTTTCTAATTAAATATTTGATTCTGTTTTGAAGATTTTTGCTTTAATTTTCACAAGAAATAGATTTTCTTGTGGTCTAATATTTTAAGAATGATTAAATTTTCTATTACCCGATTACTCAAATAAAACAGCTTACAGTTAAATCTAAACTTTAAAAATAAGCCGTCATTCGTGAAAGAAAATTATCAAAAAAGCAGCAGTTTCAGAGTTATGATCTGTTGCACCTTATAAATTTAATATTAGCTTTAAATTTTAATTATATTAAGCGGTTTATTATGCAACGCTAGTTGTTTTTTAGAAAATTCATGATTTAATTCTAATGACAACAACAAAATTAAATTTTTACTTAATTTGTATAAATAATTTTCACATAGTTACGTTATAATAGCAAATTCTTAGAATTTAAATATTAAATTTTTATAATTCCATTTTTAAAATAATAGTAAATGACCACAAAATAAACATGATTAATTTTAACGTCAAATTTAATTGATAAAAATTTATGAACATTTTAAAAAAATTGAATTGTTTAAATGAAAAAATGAAAGTGATATCAAAAACAAAATTTTAAAATATTTAATAAAAAAAAAAAATTGAATTTAAAATTATGGATTCTGCAATTGATACATTATCAACAACAAGTGAACATAGTATTGCATCCTCATCTGAATCAATAACTGCAATGCAAACAAGTAGTAAACGTTCATCAAATAGTCCATCAAATTATAGTAGTAATCATACCGGCGGTAATAGTAATATAAGTAATAATTCACATTCGTCATTAAATCTTCATCAACGTCCAACAATATCATCATTAGGTACTGGAATTACAGGATCAATACCGCCAACTGCATCAACGACACCAACAATTATGCAGCATCATCATAGTCAAAATTCAAACAGCGGTACACCAAATACAAATAGCGGTGGTGGCGGCAGCGGCAGCGGTAGTCTTAGCAATCGTAATGATCGTGATCCTGGACGTGAATCACATCATTCAGGTGCATCATCACATCATCGAAGAAGTTTATCACCAGGTTCATCACCACCACCACCATCTTTACCATCATTAAGAAGTGGCGGTACTATTGCACTTAGTGGTACTGGAGGTTTAGGTGGTGGATCAAGTGGTCATCCACCAAGTCCACCATCATCGGCAGCTGCATTATCACATCAACAAATGATGCAACAAATGCAACATCAATTAAGTCCACCGCATGTATCAACACCGAATAGTTTAGGTGCACAAATGGGGCCACGTGGTATGCCACATTTACCACCGCATAGTTTAGGATTATTAAATTCATTACAAATGATGCATCATGCATCTCCTTTAGAATTAATGGCAGCTGCACATCATCATGTACCACCACGTTCATATAATTCGCCGCCACCAATATCAACATCAGATCCAACGGCAAATGAATGTAAATTAGTTGAATATCGTGGACAAAAAGTTGCCGCATTTATAATATCTGGTGATACAATGTTATGTTTACCGCAAGCGTTTGAATTATTTTTAAAACATTTAGTTGGTGGTTTACATACAGTTTATACAAAATTAAAACGTTTAGATATTGTACCGTTAGTTTGTAATGTTGAACAAGTAAGAATACTAAGAGGTTTAGGTGCCATCCAGCCAGGTGTTAATCGTTGTAAATTGTTATCCTGTAAGGATTTTGATATATTATATAGAGATTGTACAACAGCCAGGTGTGTATGAAAATTATGACTATTATTTTATATTCCTTTTTTATTTTAATTTTATATTATTTGGTCTTTGATTTCTCATTTTATCTTAAAACTTAAGTTTTTAATATTTGTTTAATATTTTTTTTATAAATTATTTTCTTCATAGGTTTGCTTTTGGAATACTCTTTTTTAATTCTTTCTTTTTTCTAATTTTTTACTCCAGTTAAACAAAAATTTCAATAAATATAAATTATTCTTACGTTTACGTTAACTTTAGCTCTTGAAGATGAGGCTTTGGTGAACCTATTTGATCTACTACTCGTATGTTTTCTATAACTTGTACTTTTAAAATGATTCCTGTTGATACAAACTGTGCTATAAGTTTTCTTTTTATAAAATCTCTACACTTTAGGAAATCATAACCAAAAGTTTTTAAACTGTGTTTCAAATAAATTATAAACTCTTAAAATTCTTGTAAATAGAAATTAATTTCTTCCTAGAGCAAAGTCAATTAATTTTTATAAAATATAAAAAAATAATCGAAATCGTGTCCACAACTCCATAGAATCCGATAACTATTTTTACAAAAATATTTCCAGAATATTTCTCGCACATCCGTAAGGTTTTTTGATGATTATTTTTTGAATTTTTTTATGAATAGTGACACAGCTCTTAATTAACTTATGGTGTAAGTAACCACAATCGATTCCAACTTCGTTTATGAAATTAAAAAAAAAACATCGTTTAATCGCACCACAAGCGTGATGTGTGGTTCTGATTATGGTAATTATGTGGCTTAACTAAGCTAATAAATTATACATATACATATGTATATACCTGTGAATTAACTTGTTGAAAACTTTATTACCTTGGCTAGTTCACATAACTTTGAAAGCACACTTAAAATAAGGCAATTTGACAAATTGTGAATTTTAATGTATAAAAAGAATGAATTTAGAGTGTAACCTTTGAAGTATGCTATTTAAGTATTTATAAATAGCTTTCCTAACCACAAATTAAAAATTATAAGGCAACTATTATATTAAAAGCTAATTGTGATGATGATGACAACAATTAATAGCATTTACTTTAATGAATATACGCGTACAAATTTCACGATTTGAGTATTACTCGTACAACATGTCAAAATTTTGACATTTGCTAAACATTCTATAATTGTTATTAAATGTGATGCTTACCATTTTTCATGCTTTGTTATAAAGCTGATGAAAATTTGAATAGTAACTATGTGATTTGGAATTGCGTGCCTTTCATTTTTAAACAAATTATTGAAGTACCTATTGGGTGGAGCGCACTGGCTGCATAATATAATATATAAGCAAAATAATAGAATTATAATTAATTGTTACTATTCAAAGTTTTATATCACGCAGTAATCTTGGTATGCAATTAACCGGTGTTAATAAATTGAAATTTTCTAAGAATATAACTTGCTTGCTGTCGCGGTAATTTAAAGTTCAAAAACATTAAACAATAATTTGAAGAAAATACTTTCACAATATCTAAGTAGCTAGTAAGCTAGCTTCAAAAAAGACCCTCCAACTAACAATATCAGAAAGAGAAAAGAATAGATTTTGAAGTATAACATTTTTTATAATAAATTATTTTTAGTAATAGTGAACACTGTATATAAAATCTGTTTTTGTATAGTCGAAGGATATACTAAATTTGCCTTACCGTTTGTAACGCTAAGAAATAGCGGTCTGAGATATAGACTCAAGTTCATGTTTTTGATCAACGTCGAATTCTTTGTCGATTTAGCTTTGTCTGTCCGTCCGTCCCAACGATACGATAACTCAAAAGCTAATTGAGCTAAGTTCACCAAATTTTCACAAATGATTTATTATAGTAAATGCCAGAACCCTATTTAAGCTGAATAAGATCGGAGTACTGGTTTGGGTAGCTGCCATACAACTTCAAAAGCTATTTGGCTATATCTCAGATACTATAAAAGCTGTGGTATTCACACGGTCAACTCTATTTTTCTCGTTTTTTATAAGGAAGTTTAAAATATCAATTACTTGCGCATGTTCATAAAAATAAATTAAATGTGTATTAACATGAATGGAAAAGTTTGTGGATCCAATAAATTGATTAAAAAGGATACAACTGTAAAGCGCTCTTGTAGATTTTCCACCATACACAGAGATGAATTATTGTTGATATATTTGCAATTCTAAGATTCGAATAAAGCGATACGTGGTATAATATTTTTTTTCGTATATTTCATCGAGGAACAGTCTAAGAAATTTAAGAGAATTTTTCAACATTAGTAGTGATGCTTTTAAGTATTATATTATTTGGTGATTTGGGCCAGTTATGTCAAAATATAGAGTTTATATGAAGTTAAGATTAATTGCGCTTCATAGTGTCTTATAGTTTGATTTTAACAATTGCAAAATAATAATTATTTTTCGAATAGAATATTGAAAATTTAATCGTAATTAAGTAAGAATCACGACGGTGAACAAAATCCGACTGGCTGACAGTAGTATTCATCCAAAAACGTAATACAAAATGGAATACGATTAAGTACAAAAATTTCAATTTTTAATTCTTTATTAATTTATTTAATATTTTTCTTCATTTGCATTTTCTTTTATATAAATTTAATGCTAGAATCTGGGGTTGGCAAAAGTTTCATATATCTAAACGTTAATAATTTTAATTGGTTTCAGATTGCATTGATAAAATGAACTAAAATTTTCTATTGTTTATCGATTAAGAATTTTCATCGCATATACTTACTTAAATAATGATTACCTGAAATTTATCTATACAATATGTACATACATGTGTATTGTGTATGCCTACGTTGAAATGTAAATATTACATAATTTACTAACTTTTATTGTATGCATATCAATAAAAATTGTTATTTTAATATTTTCATGAATTTTCATATTTGCAATAATCTTTATACAACATGTTCTAGTCTAGTGAACATTAAGAACTTGAGACCTTGGGCAGTTATCACTGTATTTTTGTTGTTTTTTTTGTTCCTTTTATAATATGTTTGTTACTATATTAATTCTCACGAAATCATTTTATAAATGACCCTTTGCTGTTTTTAGAAGAAAACACAGAAAAAAATTTCTTTTTCCCCCAGTTTCGCAACTGAAAGTAAAAAAGAAAACTGTAAATAATTGTGTGTTAGCATATGTTTTTTTTTTATTAAAAAAAAAACAATTTCATTTTGTGTGTATTTCTGTTTCAAATTTAAGTTTTTATAAATAAAAAAAAAAGAAAAACAATATTTTGAAGAAAATTTTCAATAACAAGAAATTTAGATTGAGTTGTGTTGTTTTTTTTATGAAAAAATTATATATTTTGGAAAAAGCTTGCAAACTTTGTTTCTATACAACCAATTAGGGATGCGTTAGGAAAATGGTATAAACTGAAATTTAAACGAGCATCTTGATTTGAAACTTCCAATTTTCATAAAGGTTTTTGAATCAGTTACAAATTACTGATTGAATATAGGTTAATTAACTTTAACATTTAATTTAAGTTGACCTCTAAATCTAATGGTTCTCATATTACATTTATATGTAGGCGAAAAAACGTGTTAAGAGTAAGTTGTTTGAATTCACTTGAAAGTATTGCTTTCATTTAACAGAAAAAGGTTTTATTATTCTTTACTTTAGAATTAGGTAAGGTGAGTCAGTGAATAACTTAGAATCTAGATTATAATAAAATGCCAAATTTCGTTTAGCAAATTTTTATTTTGTAATAACAGTGTGTATTCTTAAATAATATTAAGAAACTCCCAATAATTTATTCTTATTAGTTAAACGAAAAAGTTGATCAAAACTGTGAAAATGCCGTTTAATCCATTATTTCCGAAATCTAGTAACCATCGAGTTACCAGATTTGGAAGAAGTTGACTTTTTAGCACTTTTCCAAAAAATTTTTTGAAAAAAGTGTTTATTAGTTTCACTCTGTCCGTCCGTCCGTCCGTCCGTCCGTCCGTCCGTCCGTCCGTCCGTCCGTCCGTCTGTCCGTGTGTCTGTTTACAAAACTTCTACACCTTTGAAGATAGAAAGCTGAAATTTAATACATACATAGATCTTCACTAGAAACTTATTTCCGTAGAACAAAATTTTTACCTATCTCCCCCCCTCTAGAAGTTATACCCCCCCAAAACCCTAAAAATGGGCTTTTTTTAATATTTGTTGCAATGAAACCATAAGCATTTTTGAAATTTTGCAAACGCAGAAAGGCAGTGGCTTGCTTCCCCTTGCGCGGTATACTATAGTTCAACTTAATAAAAACAAAATGGCCGTTCAAATTTACCATTATTTAAAGTCCTTTTTCTCCAAATTTTTGATGTCGTTTTTCTTCTAGACCCCAGACTGTAGAAGCTTGAAATTTTAGGAGCTTTTAGATATTAATAAATAGTTCATTTCGTTAGAAGAAAATTTTTTTCCATCTCCACCCCCTCTCAAGTTATCACCTCTTGAAATTCGTAAAATTCGAATCTTTGACACCTTATATTTCCGAAACCGCAAGCTTTTCCAAATTTTTATAAACGCAGAAAGCTAACGGTAAATCCCATGAAATTAAAAAATATAATTACTTTTCTTAACTCACACAATTAACCCTTAAAATCGAGCACTATGTTAACCCCTTTTTATATTAATTTTTGCTTTAATTCAAAGACTGCATATATGCGTCATCCTAAATATATGCAATCCCAGAAATAGTTTTGTATATGAATGAAAATAATTTTAATAGTGTGATAGCTATACATAGACTGTATTTAAAAGCAGAATTTTCACTTGTTGAAGGGAAAAGTGCTACAATACAAACCATTGGTTTGACCCAACTTTATTACAATCCGATTTCCTTAAAAAATTTTTTTATTTAGTTTCATTCACAAACCGTATACTCAAATTTTAAATTTCAAGAAATTCCGTTAATTAATTGATTAGATAAGGACAAAAAAGCAAAATCGGTACCCATGAAAGTCTTGCTTCCCAACTCTGACATTCTCAAAA